GGAGGAATATTATTTCTAGATGGGAAAGGATATGGAACATGATTAGGATTCCTAAACCTAAAAGGATAATCCGATATTTAGCACATTTTTAAGGTCTCTAATGTAGCCTATAAACACACCAAGTCTCATTCTCTTCCCCGTACATGTTTGGTCGATTTTAAAGTCTTACCAAAGAGAGGAAAATCGAGCATACACATTATTGAGAGTTCGAGAATTTCATTTAATTGCACCACCAAGATTATCAGAAGTAGGTATTTAGGTAATACATTAGAAGACTTTTGAAAAATATTATTCAAGCCTTTTATATATTATAATTCGACCATATTAGACGTCGTCTGCGACGGAAATCGCCGCTGGAAGCCGCCCGCGCCAAGCCGCCCCTAGTTGCGAGCAAGATTCCGCAGCCGCACACTGCCCAGACGCCGGTGACCAGTCCAGAAATACCCAGTGACGCCGCGAGCTACCAACCCCGCCTGCCTGCTTGCTAGACATGTCAAAACGGGCTGGCGAGGCGGGTCAGCCAGCAGCCCGCTGAAATCCGCCGTTTGGCGGAGCGGGGCGGGTTGGCCCGCCATCCTAGTAGGTCTTCGAAATGCCAGCCTGGCCCACCCCCGCCATGAGTTGCGGGCTAGGCGGGCTGGCCCGCCAACAAAAAAATAAAGGCGACGAAGAGATTGGGAGGAAGAGCACGGGCACAGAGGAGATAAGCGAACCAGCGAGGAGACGAGAAAAAAATTAAACATTGTTTTGGGGGTTTTGTATTCTAGAAAATTCTTGTGGGTGTTATGTGCTATGAAAAAAATTGTGTGTGGGGGCTTGAATTCGTGAAAGAGAAAAAAAAAAGAACTCAGCGAGGAAGAAGATGCATAATAGAAGAGCCCAATTGTGTGTATTGTGTTGCGAGGGTCCCGATGAGTGAGGATTGAGGAATATTTATTTATTTATTTATTTATTTTGTTAGGGCTTAAGGTTAAAGAAAAGTTGGGCTGAGCTAGAAAATAGGAAAAATTGAGAGGTTTGAGACTTTGATTAAGTGGGCCAAAGAAAAAAATGGGCTATTTTAATATTTTAAGGTAATTATATATATTTGTTAAAAAAGGCAGGCCAGCCCACGGCCCGCTAGGCCCGCCCCGCCAAAGCCCGCGGCTCGCGCGGGCTGACCCATTTAGGCCCGCTCTCCAGCGTGCCTCTAATATCACAGCTCGACCTACCCTTTTGGCGGGGCAGGGCGGGCCGGCCCGCGGGCCTCAGCCCATTTTGACAAGTCTACTGCTCGCGCACACCACCGCTCGAGTTCCTCACGTCTGTCCGCCTTGCCGCGCACGCCTGTCGTGCTCTAATTCTCGTAGGAGTAGGCGACACGTACCGCGTGCCACCCGCACGCGCCCGACATTCCTGGTATTTGCAGCGTGCCACCCGAGCTCGTCTGTGATCCAACGCACACGGTCAGCGAGCCGCGCCTACACCAACCACTTGCTAGCGCCCGTCCGCGACCAGTCCCAACCAATAGACGTCTGAGGCGAGCCGTGAGCCACCGCAGCCCAGCCCAGTTCGACAAGCCCGAGCCCGTCGTGCTAAGTCATCGGTGACCCGTTCTTGTCCCGACGACCCGAATCTAACCGAGGAGGCCTAGTCCAACTGCCCAACGGACTCTGCGGTTCAGATGATATTCAATAGAGAAAATCAGAAACGTCTGAGAGTCGACGAAATATTTAAACTATAATGCTTTAACCCTAACTACAGATCCGCTGCGTTAGCATTTATTCTGATAGATTTGAATGTGCACATCGTTGACGTTTCTAATAGAACCAACACTGGACCCCATCGGTTTCTTCTGACACACAACATCCATCTCTTCTATGAGGTTCTTCTTGGGGTTGTCGTTCTACCTGACTGTGATTTTCTCGATGCAAACTGTTTTTGTGACAAAAAATGCTATTCCTTTTGTAGCCGGTAAAAGACTGGAATTTTCCCACAGACGGCGTCAATTTGTTACGTCACTTTTAGTCACCACCAGATTGAACATCATCTCGAACGGTCCTTTTTCTTGAGCCTCCAATTATCTGCCATATGCTGGGATGAGGTCTAGGCTGGAAAGCTCTCTGATGCTCAAGTCAGAACCCGCTCAACTATATACTTTAAGAATATAAGAAATACACCGTAAAATGTGTGTGTTGTTGAAAAGAAAGAACAAGTCGTCCTTATATAGGACTTAATACCTTAGGGCTGGAGAGAGTTCTTGTTAGGGAAGAGATCCAACTAGATTCTACTTCCCTAACTTAACACTTCTCTATCTTGGTAAGAGTCCATGGGCGAGTTATTATTTCCTTCTCACTTGGATTCTTGCCTTTTTTTATTGTTTTAGACCATGCTTCCTTAGGTCGTAAATCCGACCTCTTGACCTGTCTGCTGTGGCTTTTTTGAGGACGTACTTGACCTTGTCTTGAGATCTAGGCCGACCTTGTCTTTAGGTCTATCCTTCCCTTAGACCACCCGACCTCAAAATTTTGCTCGTCTCCTGGAGGCCGACACCTCCAGGTCATGTCTGTTATGTTACCTTGGCACTTAAGCCCATCTTCGTGCTACCTGGCCTAGCATCTTATCTCTATACCTCCGGGAGTCCTTCAAGCTCAACCTTAGCCGAGCTTCTCTCTTAGACTGGATTACCGAGCTACTTCTGAGTGCTACATCACACGATCATTGATTATTTTGCTATTTATTAGGAATTGCTTGTGTTATTTTGCTTTGATCAACCGTGATGTGTTTGATTTTATTAGATTGATCATCTTGATAGAGTTTTTCATGTCCAATGCTAGAATTGACTTGCAATCCATAATTGTTGTTTAGTTTGATTCGTCAGTAGTAAACGGTCGCAAGAAATTATCGAGAATAACACAACCTAATTAAGTACGTAGGTCGAGCGTATGAATTTACTACTGAACTAGCCTATTTTCCTGGATCATAAAATCGCTGCTGCATTAAATATAGAGAGCGTTTTCTAGACTGTCTAGTAGTTAGGTTTAACTGAAGATCGTGTTTTGGCTAAATATATTATAAGGAAAAATTCGGATAGCAGACATGGGCGGATTTAGGCAGGGGCCCATGCGTAGAATTTTTTCGGTAATATATATAGTATATATGTATTATTATTTTGACATAAAATAATACATGTTATTTATTATTATGCAAAATTATTTTAATATATATATAATAAATGTTTAGAATGATTTAACCTTCAATAGTATGTTATTTTTCGAGTTGTGGAATTTGCGCTTAAAATGTACTCAATTTCTTGTTTATTTCCTTTTTCCTCACAAAATAAAATTGTGATGTGAAACTCAACCCCAACTATTAAATAGGGAACAACGTGTCTGGTCAATATTTTATCTTTTTATTTTTTTAGTTGGTTAACTATTAATATTGATTTGACCGTTGACATCCGGTGTTGACCATTGACTGTCGAAGTTGACTGTTGACCGTAGTTTGTGACCTCTCTGTCCTTAAAGTCTGCGTCCGCCCCTGATAGCAGAGCGTGTTGTTATTTAGAGCTAGTAACTTTTTGAAAGATAATGAAGCTTGACTTTACAATTAGTTAGATTAGTTGAGCGAGAACATACACGTAACTGTCACAATTAGTTAGATTAGTTGAGCGAAAACATACACAGAATTGCGAACTAAATTTTTCTCTGTATATTTATTTATTTATTATTTTCTTATTCTTCGTTAGATCAAATAATACAATCCAATCCCTCATTTTTGAACGCTTTCTATAATTTTATTAATATAGAAAATTCACAATTTTTTTTTTTCACAGTAGAATCACATTGTGGAGGTTGGTCCATGAAAAATTTCTTGGGACGCGTTTTCTTATCACTATCGAGTTTAATTTAAGATCTTTCACAACTTTATTTATTAATAGTTTATTAAAAAGCATCAATCAACTCTAATTTTATATCTTTCACAACTTTATTTATTAATATTTTATTAATAAGCATCAACTCCAATTTTATATCTTTCACAACTTTATTTATTAATATTTTATTAATAAGCATCAACTCCAATTTTATATCTTTCACAACTTTATTTATTAATAATTTATTAATAAACATCAACTCTATTGACACAAAAAAATCATAGGCACTCGAAGATGTTGAGTTTTTTTCCAAAATGGTTGAACATTTGCTAAAGAGAATCTCCTATCCTTATTAATATGATCTCCGTTTTTCAAAATGTAAATGATATACTTTGTTAATTCTACACAAAAAGATTATTTGGCTAGAAAAATATGCAAACTAAAGTATTGAATCATTATTACAAATTTATCAATCAAATCTCTATTTGAAATATTTGATGAACAAAATACTATTTATATTTCTCTTATAAAATTAAATTAAAGTTTGAAAATCATAAATAGCGTTTCGAGAGACTGGAAATCATACTTTTTTTTTTTGGTACAGGGACCTTCCGGTTTTCGGATCCACAGGGGAACCGACTAATCTGGAATCGAGCCGGGTAGGACCACAAGGGCGGCAAAGCTCTCCCTCAAGAGTTTTAAATCATACTTTTTAAATAGCTATGAATTACACAATCTATATTATAATTAATAGATTTAAAAGGGGTGAAAGTGAATGAGGGCACGTTTTGAATAAGTAAGGAAATGAAACAAACCAACCTACATAGACGCACTTAAGGTCAACAAACAATCATATTCAGAATCGTTGGTTTTCAACAAAGGATCATTTATTAGGTCACTGTTATAGAGAGCACTGATCACTCGTCACAAGGGAAATAATATTGCTATAAATAATATGAAAACATACACCGTAAACACAAAGCAATACATATCAACCAATCTTGATTCCACAGTCAGAAACAGAGAGAGAGAGAGAGAGAGAGAGAGAGAGAGAGAGAGAGAGAGAGATAAACAGGGAGAGAGTGAGAGAGAGAGAGAGAGAGAGAGAGAGAGAGAGAGATAAACAGACTTTCTTTAAATTATTGAGATGGCTTCCATATTTTTTATTACCATAGTTTGTGCCTTGTTGTGCATTAGTGCATGTGCGCCATCATCTGAAAGCAATTTGCAAACCTATATAATTCATGTTGAAGAGCCCACCGCCCATCTGCTCAATGACTTACCGGCTTACTACGAATCATTCCTCCCTGTGGCGGACACATTGAGCTCGGAGGCCCCACGGTCGCGCATCATTTACCCCTATCGCTTCGTCCTCACCGGCTTCGCCGCCAGGCTGACGCAAAATGAGGTCGAAGCAATGAAAGAGATGGAGGGTTTCATATCTGCGTGGCCCGACAGAAAGCTATCCTTCCACACCACTCATTCCCCTCAATTCCTTGGCCTGAGTGCTTCAAACACGGGCCTGTGGAAACAGGCCGGTTATGGCAAAGGCGTCGTCATTGGAATACTTGACTCCGGGATAAAGCCTGACCACCCCTCGTTCAACGTCACTGGAATGTCGTCCCCACCTTCCACATGGAGGGGAAAGTGTGAGTTCCGCCACCCCTACCACTGCAACAATAAGATCATCGGAGCACGTGATTTCGTTGTACTAGACGAAAATGAAATCCGCAACCCACTTGACGAGGTTGGCCACGGCACTCACACCGCCAGCACGGCAGCCGGCAACTTTGTCGATGGTGCAAACCTTTTCGGCAGTGCGGCTGGCACAGCCGCTGGCATCGCTCCACATGCCCACCTGGCCATATACAAAGTGTGTGACACAGACGGCTGCCCGTACACCAGCATTGTTGCTGCCATTGACGCTGCTGTGGAGGATGGAGTGGACGTGCTCTCTATTTCACTTGGCAATCCAGCACCACTTCAATTCTACGAGGACCCAGTGTTGATAGCTTCTTTCAGAGTGATGGAGCATGGTATCGTTGTCAGCTTCTCGGCGGGAAACCATGGCCCTGAATACTATAATGTAATTAATGGGGTGCCCTGGGCTCTCACTGTTGGCGCGAGTACTATGGACAGGCAGTTGAGGGCAACTGTGGTGTTGCGAAACAAACCGAGCCTTTTGTTTAATGGCGAGGCGGCCTATCAACCAAAGGATTTCCGGCAGGAATTTCTGCCGCTTGTTTATGCCACAAACTGCACAAGTGATTATTCATTGAAGAGAAGCAAGGTCAAAGGGAAGATAGTCGTTTGTGACTATCACTATGATGACAAAGGTCCTGCAGATTCGGTTAAAAGAGAGGGCGGTGCTGCCATGATCCTGGTTAATGTGAAGGAGGTGGAGAACACTACAATTGCAGTACATGACTCCCTCCCAGCTGCAAACATTGGATATGCAGATGGTCTGGAGGTTAAAAGATATATTAACTCGACGGTGGAACCCAAGGCCAAGATAGTTTTCCAGGGTACCTTGCTTGGAGACGATCGTGCACCAGAGGTTACTGCCTTTTCTTCCAGAGGACCCAACATTGCAAGTCTTGGGATTTTGAAGCCGGATATTCTAGGCCCAGGTGTAAATATCCTCGCGGCATGGCCCACCTCTGTCGAAAACAAAACGAATGTGAAATCCACATTCAATGTGTTGTCTGGTACATCCATGTCGTGCCCGCACCTCAGTGGAGTGGCGGCGATGCTCAAGAGCACACATCCTGATTGGTCACCCGCTGCAATCAAGTCGGCCATCTTAACTACCGCAGATGTTGTGAATCGTGCAGGGCAGCCGATCGAGGACGCAAATTCTCAAGAAGCCAGCATCTTTGCCACTGGATCAGGCCACGTCAACCCACAGGCGGCAAATGATCCAGGGCTCGTGTACGACATTGAACCCAAAGATTACATCCCTTACTTGTGCGGTTTGAACTACACAAACAGACAAGTCCGTAGGTTTTGGAAGCACAGCATGGTGGATTGCTCGAAGGTTAGAAGCATACCTGGAGCCCAGCTAAACTATCCGTCGTTTGTCCTTAATTTCACGGAGGGTAAGCCGGTTTCTCAAAAGTATACTAGGACTGTAACAAACGTCGGCCCCCCTAAATCAACTTACAGAGTGTTTGTTGTCCCCCCAGTTGGCATCAAAGTTCTTGTCGAGCCCAAGACGCTCAACTTCTCAAAGCTGAACGAGAAAAGTCAGTATCAGGTTACGTTTACACGGCTTGCGACCGCACCCAACAAGCCATTTGTTCAAGGATTTCTAAAATGGTCTTATTGTAAGTACACTGTTAGGAGCCCTATTGCAGCTGTACTGGAAGGGCCGCAATCATGGAATTAAGCTGCAGATAGATATACTGCTACCAAAGAAATCACGAAACTAAGTGCAATTATGAGACTAGAATTATAATTATGCTGAATAATTAAGAAAGTTGCCACAATATTTTGCAAGCATGACATTAATTCCTAGTTGAACTGTACGGACTGGAATCAACGAACGATTACATTAAACAACGAACGAGTACTTTAAAGTACGTACTCTAAAATAACTACACATATGTTCGAGCACAATACACTAATGAGATTTTAAATATTCCTATCAAAAAGTGACAACTTCATTCAAACTATTCAAAAATGTTTTTATCAGATTCCGACATTCGAATTTCAATGGCATTTATTTGGAAGATAGACAGAGTAGATAATCTTTGCTTGCAAAATACTGGTCATTTTGGTTGTTTCAAGATTCTATAGTTGTTTATCATAATATATGTTTCACATATCCTTCAAATTTGCAATATTCCTAATAATTTCTTTAATGTTTTTATTGTCCAACTTTTTGCATTTTACATAATGCTTCCATAATTCAAGATGCCCAAGCCTGGACGAGGAAGAGTTTCGGGGCGTAAAACGAAAAAAGACGCTGATGGGCTGGTAACATACTATGAGTCATGATTCCTTCATTCACGAGAATAAGAAAGAATTAGTATTATGCAAAAAATTTAAGTTTTAACAAAATAATAGATTCTATAAGATATATCAATTCTAATTTATAACATAATAATTTCTAAGTTCTAACATCACAGAAAGCAATCCACCGGAAATTGACACTCTTATAAAAAATATCTATGCTGAAAAACTTAGGCTTGCTTCATCTTTTTGTTGGTTTTCAAGTTGCTCACAGGACGGAGATGTGAGCACGCGCGAGTGGCGCGCATCGTGCTGCGAGCGCCGAGGAGTTCTGCCAGCGCCTGTCCGCGTTCACGCAGCTGTCTTAACCATATAAATCTCTTGTCAGTTGTGTTGTGTACCCTTGAATCCTTACCCATCATTTGTTTTTATATTACACGTAAAATGTTCGGCAGGAGTCGTGTTGTTTTTCAGCCCTATATTCGTAAATACATATCTTTGTTAATATTTAGCAATTGCAGACTAGCACTATCTGTTCTCGATTTCTATAGTACATGTATTTGCATGGAGGCAGAATATGAAAGATAACAGGATTGAGCTCCTTGAAGTATCCGAAAGGTCATAATCGTTGTCTATCCATTTTGTTCATACAGAATTAGTAATTCTTAAACATATATCAAAATCGTGATATATGAGACTAACATATTTGTATCTGTTTTAGAATGCTCATGGTAGAGTGTTTAGATTCTTGTTCGAAGGACGAACTAGAGCAGCTCGAACGACAATTAGAACAAAGTTTGAGGAACATCAAGGATCGGAAGGTATACCAACATAAGATACATTAATTTTATATATAGTGGAAATTAATCGGCCGTAAGTACTTTCTTAAGATGTTTTGAATATCCAAACATCTTATCACAGAGCACATTGTTCAAAGAGCAGATCGATCGCATGACGCAACAGTTAATATTAGTCTCCTGCTAATGTTGATGATTAAGAATTGTGAATCGGTACAAAATTTATCGTTTATTTTTCGTGCTTTTTGACGCTTAATTAACCATTTTACGTTCGATGTTGTAGGATGAACACCTGATGAAATTAAATGCAGAATTAAAGAAAAATGTGGATGTCGAACATAGTATCAATTTTATTAATTTTGTTTAACAAACTTCGAAGCGTGCACGACGTTTGTGCATTTCTCAAGAGAATAATTTTCAGCTATTTAATTCGCTTTATTCTTCTTTTTTTCAATAAATTATTGCAAATTAATGAAGCACACATATGTGGGAAACTTGTGTAAATTGGTTTTGATGAAGAACTTAAAACCATAAATACAATGCTGATCAGTCTTTGAAAACAGGTCTGTTGATTAATAAGTTTACATCTTGCACAAACATGTACTTATTTGTTCATGTATCTCAACTACAATATTGACAACATATATGTATGTGTGTATAAAATTTCAATGATTAAATAGAACAATACTTCATTTTTGTTATATTTTGGGTATCATAAGGTCAAGCAAACTGTATTTGCAATAAACCGAGGAAAATAAGAAAACCAATAACGGAAAAATATTATCATGTTTTCCCTAGCTATAGAACCGGGGTATGGTTTTGGATTATTTTTTTTTTAAATAAAATAATTTAAATAATGGTTACTTTTACTATTGGCAAGAGAAATCAAAGGTTAGCAATTTTTTGCAAATCTGGCCGTCTTCTCCTACTTATAAAATTTCTATCGTTTTGAAAAAATAAAATAAAATAAATTTTGATCCAGTTGTTCGAAATAACATGGGACAAATGACGATAGTACTTCGACAAATTATTTAATGTGGAGAGTGAGGGTCCTACCCTGGAGTTGGATGACTCATTTAAGGATACCAATAGACGCTTGGTGAGGAGAATTCGGGAGGCAGAGATCGGAAAGGCTATGAAGAGGATGAAAAGAGGTAAAACAATGGGCCCTGATGGTATCCCCATTGAGGTGTGGAGATGCTTGGGTGTCAGAGCGTTAGTATGGCTAATTAAGCTTTTTAACCTCATTTTCCGGTAAACAAGATGCCTGATGAATGGAGGAGAAGTACTTTAGTACCGATCTTCAAGAACAAGGGAGATGTTCAAAGTTGTGGTAACTACCGTGGGATTAAGTTGATGAGCCATACGATGAAGCTCTGGGAGAGGGTTATCGAGCATCGCCTACGACGAGTGACGAGTGTGACCCAAAACCAATTTGGGTTTATGCCTGGAAGGTCGACCATGGAGGCGATTTTCCTAATACGACAGTTGATGGAGAGATATAAGGACCAAAAGAAGGACTTGCACATGGTCTTTATTGACCTTGAGAAGACTTATGACAGAGTACCGAGGAATGTCATATGGTGGGCCTTAGAAAAGCACAAAGTCCCATCTAAGTACATTACCCTCATCATGGATATGTGCAAGGATGCGATGACGTGTGTCCGAACATGTGGGGGCGATACCAGCTATTTCCCAATTAAAATCGGACTACACTAGGGTTCAACATTGAGCCATTATTTATTTGTCTTGGTGATGGATGAGGCCACAAGGAACATACAAGGTGATATCCTTTGGTGTATGCTCTTTGCTGATGATGTGGTGCTAGTTGATGAGAGTAGAGCAGGGGTAAATAGGAAGTTAGAGCTGTGGAAGGACACGTTAGAGTCGAAAGGCTTCAGAGTTAGTAGGACGAAGACCGAGTACATGACGTGCCCTTTCAGCATGGCTACACATGATGATCGTGACGTTATCTTTGACGGGCAAGTGTGGCCAAGAAGGAGACTTTCCGGTATTTAGGATCGATGCTACAAAAGGATGGCGGCATTGATGAAAATGTTAGGCATAGAATTACAGCTGGTTGGTTGAAATGGCGTCAAGTTTCGCGCGTTCTCTGTGATAAGAGGGCCACAAAGGCTAAAAGGTAAGTTCTATAGGACGACGATTCGCCCGGCGATGCTATACGGTGCTGAATGTTGGCCTACAAAAAGACAACATGTCCAACAAGTAAGTGTGGCAGAGATGCGTATGTTGCGTTGGTTTTGCGGGCACACAGGAAGGGATAGAATCCAGAATGAGGATATTCGAGATAGGGTCGGGGTGACTCCAATTGAGGAGAAATTGGTTCAACATCAGTTGAGGTGGTTCGGACATGTCCAATGGAGGCCTTGCGATGCACCGGTGCGTAGGGGAGTTCTACAGCGGGTCAATGATCTAAAGAGAGGTAGAGGTCGGTCTAAACTCACTTGGGAAGAGTCGGTTAAAAGAGACCTTAAATATTGGAATATCTCCAAGAATTTAGCGGTGGATAGGAGCGCTTGAAGGCTAGCAATCAACATTCTAGAACCGTGACTTTTGCTCCTTTCTCTTTTGCTCCAATCTCTTCTTTGTGTTTTTGAGCCATTTTCGTGTTTCTCTTACCATTGGTTCTCTTGGGTTTCATCTCTAGCCTACCCCAACTTGTTTGGGACTAAAAGACTATGTTGTTGTTGTTGTTTGTTCGAAATAACATGCCAGCTTGTTTGAATTAACTATTAGACTATAATATAACCCAGTGTACTATATATTTAATATATCCTCATCAGTTTAAACCGAACCCCATTGAACACAAAAGAAAAGTAAAGAAAAGAATCAAACTTAAGTAACACGTTTATTATACCGCAAGTCATTCCCCAAATAAAATTTGATATGGGCATCTCATCGGTACGTTTTGTTTTAGGTTGGCTTCATCATTAGGCTGACATACTATTTTCATAAAGATGTATACTTAAATTAAAAGATGTCATAATTTAGAAAACTTCATAAGCAAAAATTTGATAAACTTGATATTATAAATATGCATTTTTGTTTATAAAATATGACTGATCGACCTATCTAACGAGCAGAGGAATTTGTGGCATCTCAAATGATTTGGTATATTTGAGATGTAAACAAATTGATAACAAGTTTTGGACCTTTTGTTAGAAAATCATTTCCAAGATGTAAACAAAATGATAGCAAGTTTATATGTCGTGAAATGTGAAAAAAATTGGATTATGTCTCTACATTAATCAATTTGAAACGTGAATTTAGATCCATAAACTTATTATTTAATTAAATCACTCATACTTACTTGGTGCATACAAATTATTGTGAATGTTTTAAAAATAAGCGCACAAATCACATGTAAAAGGAAACTTAAATAATAAACCTTAAACATACATTTTTTCATTATTTTATTTCTTGAATGGTACAAAAAAATTTGTCTAGTTTTATAAATTAAAAAAAAAAAAAAAAAATCAGCAGAAGACGAAAATGAAATTGGGTCAGCACATTTTCCTCTAATTCCCAAATTACCCACAAAAATAAATAAATACACAATTAATCACAAATTCACACATCCAAAGTAAAAAGGGCAAATTCTATAAAAGTACCTAGACCCCTTTTCAACTTCCAGTTCAGT